TTTTACTTATACCATCAATTTAGCATTGGAGTCCATTCTTCTATTTAGATGAGCTGCAATTTTAAATAATGCTTATTCGTGTTATAGCCAACCCAAGTTCACTTTTTAGAAATAGTGTTCCCCTATTCGTCAGTCATGTTATAGCCAATTCACGTTGCCAGAATACGTGTTATAGCAGAACTCCTATGTACCCTTGAATTCCTAGTTTTGGTCACATTGCAACAGCATCTCTGTAATAGTTATCAAATCATATTCATTTATTTCTATTTGCGCCGTCAACTCATTTATCTTGCTACAAATGCTTATGCATTTGGATAAACAATCTTACACACCTCTACTGTCTTGTTTCTTTTTATTCTTTTAAACTTCCCTTCAATTGAACATCACACCGTGCACCCCCCCAAAAAAAATTTTGTTTAAAGCCTTATCTACGAACATAGTTATACAATTCGGCAGGACGGTCACCTGGATTAAATTAAGCCCATCCTAATGGAACAGCTTTTTTCTGAAGAAGGGTCCAGACCCGAAACATCAGCTTTCCTGCTCCTCTGATGCTGCCTGGCCTGCAGTGTTCATCCAGCTCTACACCTTGTTATCTCAGATTCTCCAGCATCGGCAGTTCCTACTATCTCTCTTGGATAGAGACATTTAAGATTATGAAGGATTTAGTATAAATAAAAAGTAATTACTTCCAATTGTTGTAGGGTCAAAACCAGAAGGATTTAAGCCGATGATAAAAGAACCAGAATTTATGTGAAAAAAAAAAGCATTTTTCACAACTAGTTTCAAATGATCAGGTTATGGACATGTATTCATTATTAGCTTCCAAAGTAATAGTCAAAATACATAAAGGAAAATAAAATGTAAGGATACAGGGAAGAGTGGGGGAGTTAAACTTACTGCATTGCACTTTCAAGGAGTGCAGACAAGATGGGCTGAACAGTCTCTTGTGCTGTCTCATGAGTTAGTCACATTTGAAGACTGCGAATAAAAAGCAAATAAGAAGCTTAAATATTAGTGAGTCAATCCAATATTTAAAACGAAGGCACAGAAAATGAGATGAAAGAGGGAAAGAAACAAAAATCTCCAACACCATTTAATATTTGAGGGAATGAGGCTTTGTATTTGTAACACAGGTAGTCCTCAATTAACGTTGCCCTGCTTAACCTGATTTTGCTTTAATGTAAAGTTAATGAGGTCTTTAACCTCATTGAGTGACTCAAGATTCATTTTAAAGTTGTTTTCCACGCGACCTATATCCTCCGGAAGCTATATATTCTCTATAGTTGAGATTTAATTTTTTTTGTCACCGATGTATTTTATGCTCTAAATGTTATTTGCCAGTCCCTAGCGCCATTTTTGGCAGGAAGTTTTTCTTTCTTACATCTTTAAACAGTCATTTGATGGTACAGGACTTGAATATTGCTGGAAAGAGACACATTTTGTTGACATTTTTCATCTTACACATCAGGACAATTCATAAGAATACCATTTTAAGGGGAAAACTGACATTATTATTGTTTGACAGGAGAATGGTGATTGGTTGGCAAGTGGGTTCTGATGAGAAGAGGCATTGCCAAGGAAAATGCACCAGTTAATTATGATTGACATTTGACTGCCAGGCTTTGTTTAAAATCAGATGGGTTGATACTGATTAATGTAGCCTTTTATTCCCATTTTCCCTGGTTCATCAGGTTTGCTCTGAACATCAATGACCCAAGGCAGTTCTAACCACGGAATATACCCAATTTTCTTTATTACAGCAAAGTACACTACAAGAAATAATGCAAACATTTTATCCATACAATACTTACATCACAAGTGAACCATTACGTGGACTTGTCTGAAGATCAGACCAGAATAGTGATCAGCCTGCTGCGTCTCAACTTCTAGGTGTTGATCAAACTTTTGTTTCCCCATGCTAGCCAATTTCTGCCATGAGACAAGAGGTTTTTTTTAATTCTCTTTTCATGCAGAGAGGCTATGCATTTAAACTCTTGCCACTATTCAGTCTGCAGCAATCACTTTGGCAGCTGGCATACATCACAAATCTGTCATGCTTTCCATGTTGGTTTAAACAATCAAATAATCGAGCATATATCTCCTTGGAAAAATGCTATCTCTTGCTTTTAATAAACGTTGACGTCAGCTTAGTTTGTACTCACTGTTCACCACTTTTATGTCATCCAATCAACTGTGTGATATTTACACAGCACAATTCTATGACCATCAAAAATTCAGCTGGTAGGTAGTCCATGTTATCACATCTGATTTATTACGTCTGTTTTCAACAAAACTTTAGCTTTTCAAGAGTTACTGTGACAGTTCAGTCTATTACTGCTGAATTACAATGTTACAACAAACATGCACATCCGTTCAGTATAATACAGAAACAATTTAAAACCCATGACCTTTTTAATTATTCTGTTATTGCCAGGCTTCAAATGTTGTCTCCTTCTCATTTCATTCAACTTAATTTCATTTAGGTTAATATCTACATTAGACAAGGCATTGCCCTCAGAGGTGAACCAGCAAATGGCTGTCACCTATTCTGTTGTGGTGAAACAGGTGCAAAAAACAGGGCCCTGTGTATTAATATATATAGTTTCCAGAACATTTAAATCTGCCACATATGAGCGTGACTGTCAATCCTAAATTGGTTGTCAGTGTAATTCTTCACATACTCAGGACTATTCAGCAAACATTGTCCAATTGCTGAATCACACCTAATGTTAAACACACTACTGCAAGTTTTGGATTGGGTAAGGTTAGTACGTCACTTGATACAATTAGCTGGAGGAATATGCCGTTTGATAAATCCACTAGTCTTTAGGACATATGGCCTACATTTCGACACTGAAATTCATACACCACATATTTAGATAATAGAAGAATGATTTTTGACCTCACAGCAGTTTCCTTTTAGTGTTGAATACCACTTATATCACTACAACATATTGTGACCTTTCTAATTAGTGGATCATCAGCAGTCTTCATACGTTGTCTCCAACTCATTTCATTTAACATAATTTCATTTCGGCTAAGCCAGTAAATTTTAGATAAATATCTGCATCAGGCAAGGCATTGCCCTCAGAGATGAACCAGCAAATGGCTGCCATGTATTCTGTTGTGATGAAATAGCTAGCTTCACCTATTAGTCAAACAATATAAATACCTCACTTTCCATGGAAATCTGAGGTGGTCTGGGCACTTCACAGAACCAGAAGTGACAACTATAAGGCCATCCTTCAGTTTGTGCAAAATATAGCAAGAAATCATAACACCCCTACAGCGTGGAAGCAGGCTGTTTGGCCCATCAAGTCCACACCAACCATCTGAAGAGTGTCCCACCCAGACCCACCCTCTATCCCTGCATTTCCCCTGGCTAATCCACCTAGCCTGCACATCTCTGGACACTATGGGCAATTTAACATGGCCAAGCCACTTACCCTGCAAATCTTTGGATGTTGGAAGGAAACCAGAGCACCCAGAGTTGTCCCATGCAGATACAGAGAGAATGTGTAAACTCCACACAGTCACCCGAGGGTGGAATCAAACCTAGGTTCCTGTCACTGTGAGGGAGCAGTGCTAGCCGCTGTGCCACTGTACCATATAATTGTGGCAGCCTATTTCCCACAGGATGGATTTGATGACCCCTATTTCAGCATCAAACTCGTATGCTGAACTAATGGTGCAGGCCCTATTTAGGAAGTTGCTAATAGGTCAAACCTTATAGCACATGGGACTGTGGGAATCCCAACATATATAGGGTCCGGTGAAGGTAGCTTTGTGATAATGGAACATCCTCTGGCTGATTTCATAACTAGGATATCGAAGAAAGGAAGCTTATTAGATTATTCAGTATCAAACATGAATTTGATGACTTTGTTGTTGGCTGTTAATTAAAACGTAAAATCACTATACTTTTACCAGACCTTAAGGCTGCTCTCTCAGTAGAGAGAGAGATGGTTGTGATTTAGTTTGAGGGTCACCATGCCTCAGATGAGGCGAGAAGTCAAGAAGGATAATCCTTCATGGTAACTTCAGCTGGTGTAGGAATTCACTGCATACTGTCGGCATCACTCTGCCACCTACCCATCCAACTGAGTGATCTAATCAACCCCCTTGGCAGTCAATAGAATGTTAAGAATGAGAATCCATTGATTTAGATGAGGATGACTTAATGAAAAGCATGATATGTAAATGAATTAACACCATAAGGAGAATGTATGCATCTATCAATACAGCTAGTTCTGTATTTTACACCCTAACCAAAGTAGAATCATGTCTGGGTTGTTGATAGAAGGTAGTCAACATTCATGTTAATGAACATCAATAATCTTTATTAAGTATATTCACTATATACAGAACAGAGTAAGAGTGATCAATTTTTGAACCCTACGGACTCGGATCCCAGTTCCATGTGATCTGACATCATCCTGACATAGCTCTATACACATATGTTCAGTAGCTATTATTACAATTAAACTGTACTTAACCTTTATCCACACATTCCCCCACATCTCTACCCCATTTACTATTTATATGATTTACACATCCTTCCGCACGTTACTCCCTAACAAAGCTGAGCTTGACATTGTTAGTCTACAGAGTGCTTTCATCAATCTCCCTGAATGCATACAGAATTCATTTTGAGGTTGTGGACAGTCTTCATTCTTTGAGGGTCTGTATTCCTTGCCTTTATAGTTAGTAATTGTGTACTTATAGTTTCTGACAAGAATCAGGATAGACAGCTCTTCTGTCTAATAGCTGCTGAAAGCAAAAAAGTTGCTGTTTAATTCAGATGATGCCATTTAATTTTTGGACAATGGATAATCTTGGTTGTCGTAGCCTCACAGTAAGGGAGTCCACTCACAGCTGATCCCTCAGAGCATCACATGGTCAGGTGTGTTTCAGGCATAAGAACCCCTTATGAAACATTGCCTCAATCTCACTTCTTCCCTTTTTTAGGAGTGAGTGTGGGACTGGATGGGAGTAGGCAGTTGGGTTTGGCACCTGCCTTCATTGTAAAGTAGCTCAGTTTTCCCTATCCTTGGAAGTGTTTTGGAAATTGTTATTTTAATTCATTTACTTGGCTGCTGTTTGACGAATTCTTCCATTTTAAGAATGAGTTGAGATCTATGCAGCTTTCTTGCTGAGCAGTGAACATGGATTGTTGTCATCCTAAGAATGGCTCTGTCTTCTATTAATTGCCTAATTATCTATCCATGCTAATAACCCAACACAATAGGGCTCTTATCTTATTGAGTTGCCTTACATGTGGCACCTTATCAAATGCCTTTTAAAATCTATATGTATTAGATCAACTGGTTCTGCTTTACTTATTTATTGCCTTGCACAGCACAGAAGTACCAAGGCTATACGTTCATCTATCCTGTTAAGGTGCCATTCAGACCCTGCAGGACTTTGGTGGATTTGTATAAATGTGGCTGCCAATTTGTATAGAGCAAACTCTCACAAACAATAATCTGCTAAACACATTGGTAGGAAAAATTTTTTTGAAAGTATCTTTTCAAAATGGCAAGAGAATTATAAAATGCAGTGATTCTGGGTGCCCCAGTAGATACATCACAAAAAGTTAGTTTGCAAAACATAGAACATAGAACAGTACAGCACAGTACAGGCCCTTCGGCCCACAATGTTGTGCCGAACTTTTACCCTAATCCTAAGGTCTATCTAACCTCCACCCCGACCTTATACTATCATCCATATGCCTATCTAATTGCCGCTTAAATGCCCCTAATGAGGCCGACTCCACTACCTTCGCCGGCAATGCATTCCACGCCCCGACCACTCTCTGAGTAAAGAACCTACCTCTGACGTCTCTCCTTTATCTACCTCCACTCACTTTAAAACTATGCCCCCTTGTAATAGCTACCTCCACTCCAGGAAAAAGTCTCTCGCTGTCCACTCTATCTATACCTCTGATCATTTTGTACACTTCTATCAGGTCACCTCTCATCCTTCGTCGTTCTAAAGAGAAAAGCCCTAGTCTCTCAACCTTTCCTCGTAAGACCTTCCCTCCATTCCAGGCAACATCCTGGTAAATCTCCTCTGCACCTTTTCCAATGCCTCCACATCTTTCCTGTAATGAGGCGACCAGAACTGGACACAATACTCCAGATGTGGCCGAACCAGGCTTTTGTATAGCTGGAACATAACTTCACGGTTCTTGAACTCGATCCCTCTATGAATGAAAGCTAACACACCATACGCCTTCTTAACAACTCTATCCACCTGGGTGGCAGGTCTCAGGGAACTGTGAACATGAAACCCAAGATCCCTCTGCTCCTCCACACTGCCAAGAATCTTTCCGTTAACCCTGTATTCTGCTTTCAAGTTTGTCCTTCCAAAACGAATCACCTCACACTTTTCAGGTTTAAACTCCATCTGCCACTTCTCAGCCCAGCCCTGCATCCTATCAATGTCCCTTTGTAACCTAGAACAGCCCTCCGCACTGCCCACAACGCGACCCACCTTCGTATCGTCCGTGAACTTGCTAATCCACCCTTCCACTCCTTCATCCAAATCATTTACAAAAATCACAAAGAGAAGAGGACCCAGGACAGATCCTTGTGGTACACCACTCGTAACTGAGCACCACGTTGAATATTTTCCATCCACTGCCACCTTTTATCTTCTAAGAGTCAGCCAATTGTGAATCCAATCTGCCACATTTCCCCCTATCCCATGCCTCCTTACCTTCTGCATGAGCCTACCATGGAGAACCTTATCAAACGCCTTACTTAAATCCATGTATACCACATCCACTGCTCTACCTTCATCCACATGTTTGGTCACCTCTTCAAAGAATTCAATAAGGTTTGTGAGGCATAATCTACCACTCACAAATCCATGCTGACTATCACAAATCAAACTGCACCTTTCCAAGTGATCATAAATCCTATCTCTCAGAGACCTTTCCAATAAATTGCCTACCACTGATGTAAGACTAACTGGCCTGTAATTTCCAGGGTTATACCTATTCCCTTTTTTGAACAAGGGAATGACGTTTGCCTCTCTCCAATCTTCCGGCACTATACCCGTGGACAGTGAGGACGAAAAGATCATCGCCAAAGGCCCTGCGATCTCTTCCCTCACGTCCCATAGAATCCTTGGATAAATCCCATCAGGCCCGGGGGACTTATCTATCTTCAACTTCCTCAAAATTCCTAGCACATCTTCCTTACTAACATCGACGTCCTCTAACCTACCAGCCTGCTTCACACTGTCCTCCTCTACAACTAGGTCCCTCTCAGTTGTGAATACCAAAGAAAAGTCTTCATTAAGGACCGTTTCCTATCTCTTTAGGCTCCGTGCACAAATTCCCTTTACAATCCTTGATTGGCCCTACCCTTTCTCTGGTCATTCTCTTGTTCCCCACGTACGTGTAAAAAGCCTTGGACTTTTCCTTGATCCTATCTGCCAAGGTTTTCTCATGCCCACTTATAGCTCTCCTAACCTCTTTCTTCAGCTCCTTCCTGGATAACTTGTATCCCTCTAGAGCCTTTTCCGTTCCTTGTTTCCTAAACCTTACATAAGCATCCTTCTTCCTCTTAACCAGTCGTTCGACCTCTCTTGAGAACCAAGGCTCCCTCACTGGACCGCATCTTCCCTGCCTGCTAGGGACAAACATATCAAGCACACACAGTATGCATTCCTTAAACAATCTCCACATTTCAATAGTGTTCTTCCCTGACAGCATCTGTTCCCAATTTATGTTACCCAGTTCTTGCCTAACTGAATTGTAATTACCCTTCCCCCAATTATAAACATTACCCTGCTGTATGTACCTATCCTTATCCATGACTATTGTGAAAGAAACAGAGTTATGATCACCACCGCCAAAATGCTCTCCTACCAACAGGTCTAACACTTGGCCCGGTTCGTTGTCAAGCACCAAATCCAAAGTGGCCTCTCCTCGTGTTGGTCTATCTACATACTGTGTCAGGAATCCTTCCTGAATGCACTGGACAAAAGCTGCTCCATCTAAACTACTACAACTAATATGTTTCCAATCAATATTTGGAAAGTTGAAGTCACCCATGACTACAACCCTGTGACTTCTGCACCTTTCCAGTATCTGCCTCCAAATCCGCTCCTCTATTTCTCTGCAACTATTAGGGGGTCTCTAAGAAACCCCTAACAAAGTGACTGCTCCTTTCTTGTTCTGGACCTCAACCCAAACTGACTCTGTAGACAGAGATAGTAGGAACTGCAGATGCTGGAGAATCTGAGATAACAAGGTGTAGAGCTGGATGAACACAGCAGGCCAAGCAGCATCCTAGGAGCAGGAAGGCTGACGTTTCGGGCCTAGACTCTTCATCAGAAATGGGGGAGGGGAAGGGGGTTCTGAAATAAATAGGGAGAGAGGGGGAGGCGGATAGAAGATGGATAGAGGAGAAGATAGGTGGAGAGGAAACATACAGGTCAAAGAGGTGGGGATGGAGCCAGTAAAGGTGAGTGTAGGTGGGGAGGTAGGGAGGAGATAGGTCAGTCCAGGGAGGACGGACAGGTCAAGGGGGTGGGATGAGGACATATCATTCTCGAACTGCCTTTCAGTAGCTGCTATACTAGCCCTGACTGGCAATGCCACTCCCCCGCCTCTTTTTCCACTCTCCCAATTTCTATTAAAGCATCAAAATCCCAGAACTTCCAACAACCATTCCTCTCCCTGAGTTACCCAAGTTTCAGTAATGGCCACAACATCATAGTTCCAGAAACAGCAAGTAATTTCAAAACTAACAAAATCCTACTGTTTATTGAGAGTGTAATTGAATATAAAATGAGGGAAGTAATGCTTTGTTATACAGAGCATGAGTGAGACCACATCTGCAGTACTATGTACAGTATTGGTCTCCTCATTTAATGATGTAAGTACATTGGAAGCAGTTCAGAGACAGTTTACTAAACTACTACTAGAAATGAACTAGTTTTACTAATAGTAAAGTTTGGAAAGGCTAGGTTTGACCTTAGAAGAATAGAGACAACTTGATTGAAAGATATAAAATCTTGAGGAGCCTTGACAGGGTACATGCGGACAGAACGTTTCCTCTTATTGGATAACGGAGTAGGAGTTATGTCTTTCTTTAAAAAGAAAGGGGTCCACCAATTTAAGACAAAGATGAAGGGTAACTTTTCCTCACATAGGGTTGAGTCTCTTTGGAACTCCTTAAAAGACGGTGGCAGCAGAAATTTTGAATATTTTTGAGGCAAAAGTAGAGGAATTCGTATTAAGCGAGAGAGTGACATATTACTGGAGAGAGGGGACGGGCGAGGGGGCAGGGTTGTGGATCTTATGAGCAATCTCGAAGCATTGAGTAGCCTACTCTTAATTCAGGCGTTTACATCTCTATCATTTCCTAGTTTTATTTTAGTAAAATACTATTTTAAATTTTAAAGTAACATCACCATAGCAATAGTTTGAACTTTCATATGGGTCATCCTAACTGCACTTAGGTTCTCTGCCAGTGAAGCGTATCCAAATACCACTGTTGGATATTTTCCACGTTACAGCTCTGGAACTCTTACTTCCTATTCCTGCTCCAGTTTTGATCACGATGCTGTCAGAATCAGGGTCGGAACAGGAGCGGGAGACAACATCTATTGGCACAAGTGGACAGTACTCACCGCGCACTGTTCTGATTTGAAAAGAATAACGCAGGTAACCAGATTCAAGACTTTTAACGACAGTCTTAATAGACTTAACACCTCCACAGTGTGTCAGAGAACCCACTCAAACAGCAAACAGGAAGTTACTTTACTACCAGGCTGTTTCAGGCTTACTGCTGCTGAGAGGGTTGGCAGCTTTGCGTTTATATAGCGCTGCTGAAATAGGAAACTTCACCAAAGCGCCGAGCAGGAGGATCAAACAACGTTGGACGACCCTCCCTTTAAAAACATAAGGATACCCTTTCCTCACTCCAAGGGCACGTTGACACTAGCGCTGGATTTCAGTCAGTGGGACGTGCCGGGGGATAAAGTATATCTAACTCTCACTATGTCCGCACACAGAGCCCCAGCCAATTGGTGCTTTCAACCAAAAACTGATTGGCTAGGCCCATTCGTCTGAACTTTATTGGTCAGTTCTTTGTCCAGTTCAACTGCGATTGGTGAGTGTATTATGTTTCGTGCTTTCTGATTTGTTGATGCCAAGAATGGGCTGCAATGGAGCGGAAGTGCTTTGAAACATTGTAAAGAGGCAGAAAGTCATTGATTCCTTTCATCCTGACAGGGGAGGCGAGCTCCTTGAACATCTCAGGCGGAAAACAAATGGATTTAGAAAACAAAGTGAAAAAGGTAGGTGGATTGAGCATTTTGTTTTATCCTCTCGGTAAAAACGCCCTGGAACCTCTCAGTCTTATCTGATCAAGGAAGGGACTACACCCAGTTGATCGATCTGTTTGACTTTATTGCATAAAACATGCCTCTACCTCGGTAAAATGTAAATATGCTCTAAATGCCACTACAGCATATATATTAAGAGAAGCTCTTAGTTGATAGATTGAAGGTGAATGGGATGTCAGGAAAGTCTTGCAGGATTTTGAGAGGATTGCTGTAGCTTTAAGCACATTTTTCTACCCATGGACGTGCAAAAATCTACCTTTGAAACGGAAGAGATTGACAAAATTGTTAACTGCAGTTACCCTAAATAGTGTAGTATCCTCTTCTGCCTTGAGGTTACTTCATTTTTTTCTATTTATTAGTCACTCCCTTTCTTTTCTATGTGTTAATCACTTGCATTGTTTTCAGTCTGCAGTCACTCATTCCATGTTGGTTTACCTCATTGGCAGATGTGGGTTCAAGGCCTGCTCCAGGATTTGAGCATTTCCCTTCAGACAGTTCCTTTTAGTGCTGCACCTCAGGAGTGTTGCAGAATCAGAGGCGCCACATCTTAGATGAGACATCAAACCAAACAATGATTCATGTGGCTAAAATAGAACTTATATTCACAGCCTAAGGGTGTCCCAATGCAAAGCACTTTTAACAAGTAGTCATTTGTGAACTGTTGCAACTAATTAGTATGTAACAACCTTCCTGCTCCTCTGATGCTGCTTGGCCTGCTGTGTTCATCCAGCTCTACACCTTGTTATCTCAGATTCTCCAGCATCTGCAGTTCCTACTATCTCCCTGAAGAGTATTCTGATGCTTTTCAAGCAATCCACTTTCAGATGTTCATTGAGCTAAAAGTATGAGTCAGGATATCAGATAGAACTCATCTGCACATCAGGGGTTTTATATCCACTCCAAGTGGTCTGACAAGGCCTCTGTTAATCTCTAATCGAAAAGTTGCATTTCTGACAGCACCACACTTTCCCAATGTGTTTGCACTCGAGTATAATCCGAGATTTTGTACTGAAGTCCGTTGAGGGGATCTTCAACCTACAATCTACGCATACACAAGTTGATCTGTAGTTGATACCTCAGCACCAGTAACACAATTTCATTGTTCATTTATCTCTTACTGTTACATGGTGGTGACAGGAACTACAAATCAAAATGGACTTGAACAGAATGTAGCATTTTGGCATGTTGTGAGGGCATGAAATTGCAGAATAAAAGTAAATTATTGTCTTATTTTCATATTCTAACTATCAAATAATGGAAAAGGAAGCCATGTTAACTAGTTTATTCAATTTTCTGAAGAAAATGAGGAAAAGGAAAGCAGAACAGGAAACTTGAGACATATCGAAATCAATGTGTGCTTAATAATTGTGATCTTAATTTAGGTATTTCAAAAAGCTAATAGTACAGTTTCCTGGATCTTAAGAATCTCCACCTTTTACTAATATAATATTGAGAAAAAGAAATGAAAGCGTATAAACTGTTGGATCTATATTTCAAAGAAGAATTAAATTGTATTACACAACAGTTATAATTTTTCTACGTAGTATCTTGAGGGTACCGTTATATTTCACCTTTAATTACTTTTTCAAACTTCAGTAAAAATGCTAAATGAACCTGCTTTATTGATCTCAATCCTTACAATGTAATTTGGTTTCTGTTATGCATGTATCTTTGAAACATATGAAACCTACTTGGCCTTTGGAAGGTGTTTAAAGCATTATAAAGTGTCTCCTTATCTAAAAATGGAAGAGAAGTGGTTAATGATAAAAATGATGATTACATTACTAAATTAGGATACATTGGCCATAAGTACACCGCTCTCATCTGTGGACGTAGTTAAGTAGTTTGATAGATGTGACATGTTGAAATGTGCCAACAAAAATAGAATATATCAATCTGTTGTAATTCATTCTATTCCTCCTCTACTACACCCCCACCACCTGCCTGCCAGCCTCAAATAATTAGTCTGATTAACTTTAAGTCACACTGAATATGAAGTTAGGCTCAGTAGTAGCCATTGTTTCGGCAATCAAAATGACGTATGATGTGCATGCACACACCCACCAAGAAAGGGCTAGACACAACCTCAGTGTGGACATTACCATTTGTATACGACCAATATTCGCCAGAACTATGTAGAACAGGCAGTAGTGATGTCATGGAGGCATTCAGTGCGGAAACAGGCCCATTGGCCCAACTCCTCCATGCTGACCAGGTTTCCTAAACCGAACTACTCCCATTGGCTGTATTTGTCCCTCTAAACCTTTTCTATCCATGTACCTGCCAAAATATCTTTTAAATATTGTAATTGTACCTGCCTCTAGCACTTCGTCTGGAAGTTCATGCCATATATGCATCACCCACTGTGTGTAAAAGTTGCCCCTCGGGTCCTTTTTAAATCTTCCCATCTCACTTTAAACCTATGCCCTCTAGCTTTGGACTCCCCTACCCTGGGGAAAAGACCTTGGCTATTCATCCTATCCAGGAATGCCATTTTTGGAACATTATGCTCCAATCAATATGCTTTTTCTCTTAATGGCACACAGCTTGAAAACAATGGGCATGGCCTCCTCAAAAAGATTGTCTATGTGACCTATTTAGAGATGTTAAGGCGGTAGGAGGAGGTAGGACTTGAACCTGGACCTCTTGGCTCAGAGATCAGGTCATTACCACAGTGCCACAAGAGACGTCCTACCCAGGCCAGTGTTATTTAAAGATTAGTCACTGATTGATTTGTATTGGCTACTTGACAACTTTACAAATGCATTAAACATTCTGGAATTAGCTAAAGCTGCTAAAGTCTGCAAACACTTTTGGGGTTAATATAAAAGCGCTTTTGCTGCAGAAACCATTTGCACCCTATAACACAACACGACTGTGAGATTGAGCTGAGACCATACAGATTATAACAAAGTGCTTAAAATGATCATAGAATCTCTACAGTGTGGGAGCAGGCCATTTGGCTCCTCAATTTTATACCAACCCTCCACCCAGACCCACTTCCCTACCCTATTCCTGTAACCCTGCACTTCCTATGGCTAATCCACCTAGCCTGCACATTCCTGCACACTATGGGCAATTTAGCACAGCCGTCCACCTAACCTGCACATCTTTGGACTATGGGAGGAAACTGGAGCACCTGGAAGAAACCCACACAGATCCAGGGAAAACATGTAAACTCCGCACATACAGTCACATGAGGCTGGAATCAAACTTGGGTCCCTGGTGCTGTGAGGCAGCATTGCTAACTACTGAGCCACCGTGCCACCCAAGGATGATGTTAGAGGAAGTTGAATAGTGTTCTCAGTAGGAGACCATCTCCAACCAGGATATTTGAGGAATAATTCTTCAACCTGAACCTTTTCAAAGAACAAAATTTGAGACCTCAGTGAAAATTGAAATCTTTGAGCAGGCATAGACCATATTGCTGCTCCCTTTTGAGCATCAGACTCCTTTACAGGCTGAAATGAGATATATTTGCAACATTCCACAGTTACATAAGAAGTTTCCACTATTACATAAGAAAGTCATTGAGGATCTCTGCTGAAAGGGGATTAACTTTGTCATTCGCTCACCTCAGGAACCATCAGCTGGAGACAGAACACAGCTTTGGTAGAACTGCAGGCTTCCCATAATGTCACTGACTGCACCAGCATCACTTTGCAGGTGACACATGTCAATGTAGTATAAAGCATTAGCAAAGTGAGCAGAACCATAGGTGTTTCCTCAATGTACAGCTAGCATGTGACCGTTGCCAGTGAATTTTCTGGTATCCTGGCAGCAGTCACGATGCCTTCATTCTGCTCAGTAGCTACATTTGTGCTACCACAGCAAGCCAAGAGTGGCTACTGAGTGGTGGGACAATCTGCATTGTTAATGGCTGAAGTGCACCTTCCTGGTGAGTATGCATACAGTGAAACTTGCCCTGCTTGAGGTGAAATATGATGAGCAAAACTAATGATGAACCAATGCCCCCTCAGCCTGAACTGCTATGGAGGAGCCTTGCAATACTGAACAGATAAAATATTAGAACTGAAGGTGGTCTGCTGTATATTGCACCATATCATGATGGGACATTCTTTGCCACTGTCGGAATGGTGGATTGTGCTAAATGTCATCAGCTCATCCAACTGCTGTATCAGTCTCCCACTCTTTTGCTTTCTCATCTCTCTCAACAACCAGCACAGAAACCATTTGACGACAATTCAAAACAAAAAGCCTGTTGTATTGCCCCTGCATTATGTTGGTGTGGTTGCCTGTTCCACAGTGGAAGTTGTAATATAGGCCTTCAGAGGCTATATCATGGATTGGGTCCACAATTTGAAAACCAAGTTGGTTACCATTCCATGCTGGAAAGAATGGGCACCATGTTCTATCAAGTTAGTGGTGAATTCCTCTATTCACCATAACATTGGAAAACATGAAAAAATTCTTTGTTCAGTGCATAAGCAACGGGTGAAGCAGTGCGAAGTAGGAAGTTAAGGTGAATTCTATGAACTTTAAATAATAAATGCTGACACTGGAATAGGAGTGATTGGGAGATGGTGAATTGAGCAATGGTTGAGTCTAGTTGTGCAGTTAATGGAATTTCCTGGTGTGCTCATAGCAGTCATGATGCCTTCATTCTGCTACACCAGCGACATTTGTGCCTCCCATAGCAAACCA